TTTTTTCTTTTTATAAGCATTCTAACCATTTCATGTTAAAAATTACAAAGTCATTTCAGTTTGTTATTATTCCAATATGAAGTTTTATGCTTATATTTAGAGTCCTGTTTGACTCTAAATTCAAACTAAAAATCTCCTAGTATCCAGATATGTTATGATGTAGCTGGAAATGATTAAATATTGCCTTACCAAGAGCACCTTTAAGTCAGTGGTTAAGATCTTCCTAGGCGAACACTAATTAAAGATACGCAGTGCAGGAGGTGTGGGCTGCTAATAACGGTTTGGTCTCCAGAAATGGGAACTGACTCTGATTACAACTGCCCAAGTGCTATGGGAATTGGCTTTTGACCTGGTGCCTGCTCCCAAACATGGTCTCTGATCAAAACAGTAGGCACAAAATTAGCTGAAATTAATTAATTAGTGAAAAGTCCTTAATTAACGAAAAGTCATGTTTCCACATAGGCAAAGAAATCCCAGGAGTCTTCACATTTAATTTATATTCATGTGATCCAGAGAAATATAAAAGGAAATAGGCAGGCGTAGTCTCCTCACAGTGTGTGAGGAGCATTAATGAACAGAAAATACATTATGAACAGCAACCTTGAGGACTGCTACGCATCACTCGTGGCAGCAGAGATGTAGGGGCCGTAGCAGTGCCAAGGAAATAGGGAGGCCAGGGAGATAAGACAGCAGAGGGATGGGTATTGGCGGCTGAGGGACAAACCAGAGATGGTGCTCTAATCAAATCAATTAAGTTGTAAATGGCAGCAGCAGAGACATGCTGTTAGGTGAGTTTATGGACAGGAAAAACACGGGTAAGAGCTCTTACTGAAGAAATGGATTAAGAAAGGGAAGGAGATGAGAAATAATGCAGATTGGTGGTTGCTGAGGGTATAGAAAAAACAGAAATGGAGAGAAAACAGCAGTGGATAAGTTGTACTTTGGAGTGGTGCAAATATTTTGGAGCTATGTAAGAGTGGTAGTTGTACCACATTGTGAAGATCCTAGAGGCCGCAGATCCACTTTAAAATTAAAATTTTTTTTATAGCCTGTGAATTTCACCTAACGAGGTTATTTTTAAAATATAGAGAAGTGGAGAGAAGCTCTGCTGTGACCACGCGTGACAGGCCAAGGCTTACCCCAGCTGTGGGTGATTCTTTGTGAAGACTGCAGACCTTGCA